ATGTGAAATTGATTGTCAATCAGTGTTGCTACCTAAGTGGACAGTTTGATTTCACAGAAGTGTGATTGACTTGAAGTTACATTGTGTTGTTTAAGTGTTCCCTTTATTTTTTTGAGCAGTGTATATGGAATAGATTGCAACTCTATATTCAATATATTTAAAATAATATTCAACCTCTTCTGACCATGGCATCTTTCTAGATTTGCTACTAGAAGATATCAGCATGAAATAAAACACAATGTATTCTCAATTTCAAAAGAAAGCGTCAACTAGAATACTCTGCTAAAAATTTTAAATGAATTTCTCAGTTTTAATTTCTAATACAGTAAATATTGGTAGATATAATGCATGTAACCCAAAGCTCCTTTGGTCCTGTATCATTTTTAAGGAGACCAAAATATTTGAGAATTACTGGCTCCAAAGAATGGAAAATAATTACAAGCCAATAAAAGAATTCAGAATCCTAGAAACAATTTGGAATGAGATTTGCCAGTTTGTTTTAAACACTAAGCAAAATGCTTTTGTTGCTTGCTTGCTTGCCTTTAAAACGTTCCTAGATGGGTCCTGGAGAGAATCAGATGAGAAGAAGAACTTTCTTTGGAAAGCTTTTTGCTGCTTGTCTGACCCTCTTTACACCCTCTCTTTAGGATTCCTGTAAAGGCAATCAGACAAGCAGCAAAAAGATTTCCAAGGACCCAGCTTCTGCCAGGGCTGTTTGCTGCATGTGTTCTAGTCATTTTTTTCTTTTGAGTGGAACTTGTTCTTCAGTTCCTCAATGCAAGCTGCAGAAAGATTTTTTTTTTTTGTTCCCTTCCTTCCTTTCCTTTACTCTTCAGTCTGGCAGTCACCCATCAAATTAGTAACTGACAGATTCTGTCACCCTCTTTCTGTTACCTAATTGGTGGAAGAGTAGGAAGAAAGATCAACAAGTCTGTCCCTCCCAACTTTTGTTTCTGTTTTCTTTTTTGAACAAATTAGGTTTTTGGGGGAAGGAAGGGTTAAGCAAGGAAAAGGGGGAAAACCTCTTTTGGAATGACTCTCCTGCAGCTGTCACCCTTGCATGCAGGCAGCGGGCTTTTCCAAAGCCTAGCAAGATCCAGGAGAAATTTGCAGTCTCCCAAAGGCCAGCTGATCTTGACAGAAAACTCCAAAAGTAGTCAGCATTTCCACAAGAAATTGTGGAAAGTGCTGAAAATGGTGCCCGCTTCCAAGAGGCATGGAGAGCAGACCCAAGCACTGCAGGGTCCCAATAGGATAAGGGGAGAGGTGGGGGGCACTGTAGTATCACTATGGTTGGTTGTAAGGGAAAAAGACATGGGGAGTGCTGCAGCCACCACAACTTTGAAACAAGGTTGTATAAGCCTGGGGTGGGGGGGATTTTCAAATGGCTGTTAAGTGACTGTCATATCTTAAGGACTACCTGTATTTGGTAACTCTTTTTAAATTAATTTTACTGTATTCATATTGATTTGCTTTTGATATGCTTTATTTTGTGAGCCACCATTCAGTTGGAGTTGAAGTTAAAACTGAATGACTATTGGATCTTTTCTTACCTTTGTCAGCAATCTTTTGTTTTGCATCTTCAATTCTTTGCAATTCTTTTTGCTTTGCTTCCAGCTGTTGCTTTTCTTCTTTTTCAGCATCATATTTAATACCTAACAGAATGGATTACTTTAATAATTAAACACAACTAGATTAAATCAACATCTGAAATCGCACAAATAAAAAATTAAGTCTTATTTGACTGTATCTGTATTTGACTCTCTGAATTTTTTTTTTTACAAAAAATCTACATGTTTAACTTGAAAAAGAAGTTTGACTTTGAATATGTAAGTCAGACTATTTATAGGTACCCAAATTATTGCATGATTAAAAATAAAGAGGCAGAAATTATACTGGCTAAATATTAATTTACATACTTATGTTATGAAGTTCATTTCCATTTCTTAATAAACTTACTAGCTGTAGGTACTATAAGCAGATAAACTTCATCTAAAACAGCTTCAACTGGCTGAGTATAAAGATTTTTCCATGGTATTTGCAAATTTAGCTGACCTAGAATAACAAAGAAATAGTCATTTTTTAAAAAATGCAACAATATTTTTAATCACAACTTTAATCATTTAATATTATTAATGTTTTCTACTTCAAAATATTTCCAAGTCTCATATTTAACATTACATAAAAATTAGTTGCAAATAATATGGATAATTCTACTAATCTGAATCAAGCTAGGTGGTTATTTCTCATCATTTTTGCTTGGAATTTAATATAAATTGAATTTATATTCCTCATAATTTAAAACATATCATGCATATATTTAAAAAAATATTATGTAAAAGAAAAACACATTTTAGGGATGGGCAAAAGATTCTATGCACTGACTCTCTCATGCACAAAACTCATTAATTCTGAGTGGTGATATATTTCATTGAGGCATGGACCTTAATGTTTTATCTGGAGAAAACATGGTCATTCAATGCAGTGATTGTTCAAGATGTGGAAGGGAAGAAAAGGGGACTATAATACAATACGGTTGAGTAGAATAGTTGCTAAATAGAGGTAAGCAAAGGAAAATGCAAGAAGATTAATGGGAGGAACAGGGAAGTTTGCCAGTTAGGTTTATATTAGGTGTGTGTAACCAAGGGAAAACAAATAATGGGAAGATGGGAGTAACATACACCGGACTTGGCCCTACTTTTCCCACTAAACCCCTTTTGGAATTTGTCTCAGCTGAAATATAAAATATACAATACTTTCCAACTTCTGAGTCAGCTGGACCATAAAATTTGAATATAAATCTGAATGTTATTTTTTCCTATTATAAAACCACACACTATGGCACTACTTTAACCATGCTTGCAGTTTGTTTACAATTTACAATTTTACAATTTGTTTACAATTTGTTTACAATTTAGGGGGAAAAGACCAGTGAAGCTTTTTTTATATATTATTATTTGTAAAGTTTGTACACTGTCCGATTCTCAACTATTTTGGAGATTCACATGTAACAACCGTAAAAGAAATAAACAATAGAGTAATAAATAATAATAAAAGATTGCAACTGGTAGGAGCAAGAAACAAATCCATACAACCAAATGGGGGCTTCAATCATGCTTGCCCAAAACTTGGCAAAGAGATGGGCCTTCAAAGCTATTAGAAACACCAGCAAGATTGGAATCAATCAAATCTCAGAGGGCACTTCATTCCATAGAGCAGGGACCCAACAGATGGCACTGTTTAATGGAAGGAATCCAAAATGCCCAAAATTGGCTGGGTAGATAATATTGGAGATACTGAAAATAGGTGTCCTTCAAGTAACCAAGTCCTATGCCATTTGGGGCTTTACAGATAACAACCAGCACCTATAATAACTACTAACTTATTGAAATCAAGAAAAAATACAACCTCAATATTTGAATCTAAATTCAGTAACAAAGTAGATACATAAAATATAGGAGATACAGTAGTCCTCAACTTACAACAGTTCATTTAATGACCATTCAAAGTTACAATGGCACTGAAAAAAGTGACATATGACCATTTTTCACACTTATGACTGATGCAGCATCCCTGTGATCATGTGCTCAAAATTTAGATTCTTGGCAACTGACTCGTATTTATGACGTTTGCAATGATCCCCTTTTGCAATCTTCTGACAAGCAAAGTCAATGGGGAAGCCAGATTCACTTAATAACCATGTTATTAAATTAACAACTAAAGTGATTCACTTAACAATTGTGGCAAGAAAGGTTGTAAAATGGGGCAAAGCTCACTTAACAAATATCTCACTTAGCAACAGAAATTCTGGGTTCAATTGTGGTCATAAATTGAGGACTATCTGCATATAAAAAAGTCAAATTAGATCAACCAAGAATACAAGATGTATTTTTATGTATTGAATACCATTAATTATCTGCTAATTAACCAAAACTGTGAACCATATTTTTAGCTAATAAATACAACTATTCACTAAATATCTTAATTAAGGAACTACTACAATATAATATCCACTGAATGATAAAAGGTTAAACATATAGGCTTTTATTTAATCCATATACAATTGCACATGAATATCAAAAACTCTCAAGAAGCATTAACTTTTTATTGATAGATAATAGCTGCATAATGAACCAATGCATTTCTAAGAAATAAAAACCCCATGTCTTTAAAAATACAAATTTCATTAATTATTGTAAAAAGCTTGAGAATTCTACTTACCAATATGACCTGCTTTAACTTTAAAGGGGACATCAAATTGATACTGTAAAGATAAATGTTTTAATTACATTTCAACGACAAAAACATTATTTTAATAGCATAGAAGCCAGAATATGCAGAAATGTTTTTTTATTAATTCCTAAGACAGAATAAAAACATGTATTTATGAAGGGCTATGATGCGAAAGACACTTTAGTACTTACCAATGCATTTTCTTTTATTTCAAGATTTTTAAGTGCTACAGCTCCTATTAAGAAATTTGGAAAAAAAACATAATCAGAGAACAACAAACTTTATTTACAACATTTCTAAGTTAGAAATACCACTTATTAGAATTCTAACAATTTTAACGGAAATCTAGCAAAGTAAAAAAAAATGCAGTACTTCAGACTAAGATTGCAAATTTATTTTTTTAATATAAATTTTATTGGGTTTTCACAAAAACATAATACAAATAAAACATCTTTTTTTGAGAAAAGCATGATTCCGTGTTATCACTTCTTCATACAGACACAAACTCAATTTCATATTCATCTTTGTGTTCTATTCCATATCTTAGTACTATTTTCTCCATATTTTTCCCCTGCCTTGGTTTTCTCAACTTTATTTTTAATTATCTCATATCTAAATTCAATTATATATCTTTTTCTAAGTTTCAATGTCTTTCCAATCATTATATTTAAACTTTTGTCTGTCCTGTGTCAATTTCATATTATCTTTTCTCATTAAACAAATTTTCCCATGTAGTTACTAATTGGAGTATGACACCTTTTAAATTTATCCATTCAACTCTTATTTAAACTTCAATTTATGCCTTTAAAATTATAACATTCAATATAGTACATAACTTCCAATCGAATTCTGCTTGGTACATTCTTAAAATACACACTATGTTTTATATATGTTTTGTGTGTGTGTGTGTGTGTGTGTGTGTATTCTGAGGTTCTCGCGGGTATTTGTATGTGGATCTTTGGTTATTCGGGTTTTCTCCCGCGTAAGATTGGAAGTATCTAGGCAACGTTTCGATGAAGTCTCATTCATCATCTTCAGGCTTGTGTCTTCTGCTCTGTGCTTCTCAGAGTAATGTGAGCTTGCAGCTGCTTCTTCCTTTTAACTGCTAGTGGGGGTGTGACTTGATTGGGGGGGGGTGTTCTCATTGGTTGGGGGTTTGGCTGTGTTCTGATTGGTTGGGGGGTTGGCCGTGTTCTGTTCAGGTGGGAGCTTGGTTGTGCTCAGGTTAGTCTTAGTTGCTGGGGGATTTGAGCTGGTGAGCTGTGATCCTGCTGTTTGGCTTCGGGTTCGTGGTTGTGCCGCATCTTCATGGTGGGTGTCAGTTCGCTTCATGTATGGCTCGGAGGGGTTTGAAGCGGGTAGTGATGCAGCTGCAGTGCAGCTTCTGGTCCGTGGTCGTGTCTCATCTTCTGTGTGTGTGTGAGTCTGCTTTCTACGTGGAAGTGTGGTGGTAGCATCTTGTGTGGCCCTTGTGGGTGTGGGTCTGGTGTCAGTTCACTTCATGTATGGCTCGGAGGGGTTTGAAGCGGGTAGTGATGCAGCTGCAGTGCGAAAGAAAAAAAAATCCTTTCCCTTCCCTCTCTCCTTTGCTGCTTCAAAGTTTTCTTTGGGAACAATGTTATTTTTTATAGTTCAAATTCCAGGGTACCTTACGTTGTTGCTTTTTCAGTTTAACCCGGTCAACCAAAACTTTCTCTTCTTAACTTCCTCCTGAACATTCTTTTCCGGTCGAGTTCTTCTTTGAGGTGGCCATTTCTGACCATCGCTGCAACCGCTTTCGGGAAAGGGAGTAATGGCTAGCTGAGGAGGAGAGATGTGGCTCTCCTCAACCCTGCTGGCGGTCTCCCCCCTCTTCACCACCTCTTCACCACCTCTACAGGATGGCTTAGCCCCAAATCCAGCCGGCTCGGGGCGCTCCAGCGGCGAGCATGGATCAAAACTGCGCATGATCGCAGATTTTGGTCCGTCACCGAAGAAGCTCAAACAGGAAGTCCTAAGATTGCAAATTTACGTTGTCATATTTATGAATCAGCACACAACCCTTTGGTATTCCTTATGGTCAAAATTTCCTGACCTTGAAAAAAGCCAGCCTCAGGAGCCAATAAAAGGGAAGAAAGGGGAAATAGATCAAATCTTTCTACATCAAGACCTCAACTCCAGTATATAAACTAGAAGACATTTTGCAATCAGCTGCAAAGTTTACAGATTCAATTAAGCTGCTGCAATTTCAGCAAACATAATTATGTTGCCAGCTTGCTCAAACCAAACTACGCATTACACAAGAGTTCCAGGAATATTATTATACCAGAATGTATATGTGAAATATAGCAATATGCAGCTAGAAGTTATGTGTAGTTGCATTATAATCTTGGGGAGAACATGCAGAGAAGAGTGAGGCCTTACTTCCTGGATTTCTTTGAATTGAGACCTAAAAGTCCCCATCCATCACTGGACCTCAGTACATATAAACTTTTTTTTTCTTTTTCTGATGAGGTTGCCAAGGTATTGCTATTTACCAAGATATAACACCAGAAGGACTATAAATTAATGATTAAGAACATATTTTGTTTAAAAATATGTTCTGATAAAGTTAACAATTCAGCATAGCATGTTAAGAAATATTTTCACTTAAAAATACATCCTATAGATTTTTATCCTTCATAATGCAAGTAACAGAGTTAAATTTATTACATGCATCTTCTTCAATAGTTATACATAGGATCCAGAGCATTCAGATTTGGTCCAATGACTTTTCCATTGTCCTTTTCAGCCTTTTACTACTGAACAATGACACTGCCAACTATTTTTATTGAAATAAAGGTTAAAAGTTATAGGAATATGTTTAGTAAGTATATATATAAAATTAGAGGAAATACTAAGAAAATTTCAACAGTCTAAAGAACATATAGCAATTTTTATAAACTGCTAACAAGTTTTAGCAAAAAACAAAAAGTCATGTTCTTTAGGACTGCACCTGTGAGAGTACACCTAAATCTGTTTGCATTCACAATCTCAGCATACAGTCACAAACATAAGCACACACAACCATCTACCCATATATTATATGTGCACACATAATTTATATGTATTTTTATATAAACAGTATTTTCATATAAATTGCCATCCCTCATGCTCCAAAAATAGAATGATTTTCAGTTTCTTTACCAAGAGGAAAAGAGAATTGAAGAGCTTTTTGTTTTCTTCCAGCAAAAAAGAAAATCAGTTTTACATTGGCTAGCAATTTTCAGTAGGATGATTGCCTTTTGCTTCCGTTCTAATGGAAGGTCATCTCGTACATAGTTTTCTGAGCAGCTGACTGATGGGCAGATGGATGGAACTTCAGGTTCCATGGAACACAGTACTGGCACTTTCCAAGGGCCGGGTGCAGTTCTCAGGCAATGAACTGCATCTTTGAAGAGAACTGCCCACGTAAAACCATTCTGTATCTACTTCTGGATAATCACACATGCATACATAAAAATCACTTCCTGAATTCACTGAAAAAATATCCAAACAAAGCCTATATATAGACAGTAATGCCTTCAATAAAGTCAACTAAAAGTCAGAGAATGAGAAATACTTTGAATTCTTTATCTAGCTGAGCACAGGAGTTGGCACATTATTAAAATCACAACTTCTGTAACTCTTTAAGTTTTAAGATGAAGTGCAGACTTAAATTAGCTTCAGCTAGCTGTTAAGCTGGTTTCATGTTGCACTCAGATGCCAGGACAAATCACCTTGGTTGTTGTCACATTTGTAATAAGGCCAGGAAATAGAAATTATATAGTTGTCTTATCTATATAGTGATAAGTGGATATAAGAAAGAAAAAATAATACAAAAGTGTTGATCTTCACATAAAATAACCTGGAGAATAATTTTAGACAGGCACTTAGTGATCTAGCAAGTAATAGCAAGAGTAGTATATATTTATATATTAGAAAAATATGTATATGTATATATTAGAAAAACTTGTGTGCTTTTTATTGTCATTTACTAATGATCATAATTTAATTTTCACTAAAGTTTAACATTTTTTTCTGATCCACTTAGTATAATATTATGCCCCATTTATATTGCATCTTCATAATATACACTGCTCAAAAAAATAAAGGGAACACAAAAATAAGACATCCTAGATCTGAATGAATGAAATATTCTTACTAAATACTTTGTTCATTACTTAGTTGAATGTGCTGACAACAAAATCACACAAAAATGATCAATGGAAATCAAATTTAGCAACCCATGGAGATCTGGATTTGGAGTTACACTCAAAATGAAAGTGAAAAAAAACACTACAGGCTGATCCAACTTTGATGTAATGTCCTTAAAGCAAGTCAAAATGAGGCTCAGTAGTGTGAGTGGCCTCCACGTGCCTGTATGACCTCCCTACAACGTTTGGGCATGCTCCTGATGAGGTGGCGGATGGTCTCCTGAGGGATCTCCTCCCACACCTGGACTAAAGCATCCCCCAACTCCTGGACAGTCTGTGGGGCAACGTGGCGTTGGGGGATGGAGCGAGACATGATGTCCCAGATGTGCTCAATTGGATTCAGGTCTGGGGAACGGGCGGGCCAGTCCATAGCATCAATGCCTTCGTCTTGCAGGAACTGCTGACACACTCCAGCCACATGAGGTCTAGCATTGTCTTGCACTAGGAGGAACCCAGGGCCAACCGCACCAGCATATCCTCTCACAAGGGGTCTGAGGATCTCATCTCGGTACCTAATGGCAGTCAGGCTACCTTATGGCGAGCACATGGAGGGCTGTGCGGCCCCCCAAAGAAATGCCACCCCACACCATTACTGACCCACTGCCAAACTGGTCATGCTGGAGGATGTTGCAGGCAGCAGAACGTTCTCCACAGCATCTCCAGACCCTGTCACGTCTGTCACATGTGCTCAGTGTGAACCTGCTTTCATCTGTGAAAAGCACATCGGCCAGTGGCAAATTTGCCAATCTTGGTATTTTCTGGCAAATGCCAAACGTCCTGCACGGTGTTGGGCTGTAAGCACAACCCCCACCTGTGGACGTCGGGCCCTCATATCACCCTCATGGAGTCTGTTTCTGACCGTTTGAGCAGCCACATGCACATTTGTGGCCCGCTGGAGGTCATTTTGCAGGGCTCTGGCATTGCTCCTCCTGTCCCTCCTTGCACAAAGACAGAGGTAGAGGTCCTGATGTTGGGTTGTTGCCCTCCTACGGCCTCCTCCATGTCTCCTGATGTACTGGCCTG